CCACGGTTCAACTTTGGAAATGATCATGCAGACAATGGACCCCGGACGAGGTGCGTTCCAATAAGTCTTCGTACCTATATGACCATGTTGCGAAAACAAGGTCAAACAACCACTAATAAAAAATATAATTTTCAAATAAATCAATTAAGTGAACTGTAAATTCTCATGTCCTTGAAATAGCACTAAAAATAGGCGATAATACGAAAACTTTAGGATGAAAAAATCTGGAATGTCATTATTAGTAGTAATCAATAAATATTATATAATCAAGAATAGCCTTAACATTGCTGGTGGTGGGGAATGAATAAATGTACAGCTCGCTAGCTAAGCGCATAATGGATGAGAAATAATAAAAAAAGTAGATCACTAATAGGTGCAAAAAACGACTTAAAGCTGAAAGATTACTGATTAAGTTTAAATGACTTGTATATGAATTCAGAATGAGACCCACAAAAAGAAAATTCAAATGAGTTATATTGCATACATAAGTAAACATAGTAAACATTAATGAACATGCGTTCGAATAAGGAACCTAATTTACAAATAGCTTTAGACAGACTAATAAAGAAAATAAATGTAACGGTACCGATAATATAGCAATATAATAAACAGCTCAAGACAACTATGTTCAAATGAAAGGTTAAGAATGTATATAAGAATGACTAGTATATTGGAAATGAGAGCATGAAAAATAAAGGGGAAAGAGTACCTTAAGAGCAGAGCGAAGCACTATGATTTGACCAGGCGACTGAACCCAAGGTTCCCCGTCCACTTGGACAGGAATGTCCGTTTTTAGAGTTATGCGAATCTGAAAATCGGCAAAATCAGTTGGATTTAAGGCTTTGCTGGCAATAAAAAGGGTTTTGTGGCAATTGGTCATAAGCAGCTGAATAAAAAAATAAGTAGACAGTAACTTCTGATCACAAGGGTGCTTTAATCAACGAAAAATAGGAAATATGATAAGTGCGATAGGAAACAAGATAAACGCAAATGAGGGAAAATGGATTAATAAAAATGTTAATATATTAAATAATGTGAAATTAGAATAGCATCTCCCTTACATGTCCTCCTTGTGCCAAACGTGATCCGGTGCGGAGGCCAGAAAATATCTGCCCCATATGAACGACGCCAGTGACGCCAACCACTTCTAATTGGCCGTCATAGTGATTAGGTCGTGTGAAGGCATCTTCTTTCTCCACACCCCAAGGGTTGGCTCCTGCGCCCCAGGAGAGGATGTTAAGGATAATGATTCCTTCAAGTGGCGGAAGATCCAAATGGCGGCCATCAACTTCAACCGTGACGTTCTGATGCATGTCTCGACACTTAGTTCGATTTACCATCTTTCTCAGGCCCATTTTGAAGTAGACACTTTTATTATGGATTCTTAGGAGTAAAATAAGGGAAAGATGGAGGTGTAGACAAAAATCAGAAGTTATCAAAATATTATGTGAAAACAACAAATTCCGCCTAATAACCAATTCGCTTGGATAAATCATTTTAGTGTAGTAAAATAAGTCTCAATGGAAGATGTAAAAATATGTATTGTTCAAAAAATCAAACAATAATAAAACTTTCGTTGAATCCTAATGAAATTTGGATGTATACATGAAATAGAATGCGGCCAATGGACTAATTCAATTTTTATTGAGAACCATTAAGAATAAGCTAATGCCAGCTTAGCATCATATACCTAGTCATGTTGTAGACTATTTTCCATTTATACTATCAAAAGGCCAAATAACCCATAAAAAAAGAATAAAATATTTCATTGAGTGTATGAAGACCAAGATGGTGGTTGCAGTTTCATTCGAAGTAGGTAAATCACATTTTTAAAAATCAATCGTATCATGAAGAAAAATGAAATAAATACATCTTGTATCAAGTCCTCTGTCATAAAATTCTTTATTATTTCCACCGTTTTTTCATAGTGAATAGTAAAGGATTCATATAAATTTTCTCAAAGGATGAAAAGCATAGGATTAGAATGAATAAAATTATTAAAAAGTTATGAACTACAATCTATGCATGCAAACAACTACAAAT